AATGGAAAGCCACTCGTGAACCCAAAGAGTCAATTCACAAGTTGCTTTCTTATATTGACAGTAAGTACATGTGAGGTCTCTCTCTACTGAGAACAAAACATTCAGCACTACATGCTGTTACCAATGAGGCCTGGTACCTGGGGGAGTGAGGGTGCAAACAAGGCTGAGTGATCTCCAAGTTGCAAGCTATATTCTAATTCCAATCTCCCATTACTCTCCCTGTATGTGAACAGCAGAAAATAAGATTGTCAGAATAACTCCAAGAAGAGGGCTTAAGAGAGCTGGAATCCCTGCCAAACTCCACCTCTATCCTGAAAGTTTTGCATGCTACAGTATTAAGTAGACTTGCTCAACAGGAAGTTGTTTTCTTGTTAAAACTCAAGGCATTAATTGTTAAAGTAAGAAGTGTAACCTAACAACCTAACCCTTAAGTCTGTAACTTCCTAATATAAGCCTAGCAAATACACTGTGTAACAGGTCAGACCAAAGGCTTAAATACTGTATTTAGAAGTTCAAAGGCACAAATACCTCCATTTGAGCAACAGCCTTTACTTAGAAATACTTTAAGACCTATTTTGGCCTCATAAATAATAAAGCTCACAAACCTGCAACAGTACTGAGTGACAGGTAATTCAACTGATGAACTACTGCAGGCCTTTCTAAGGACCGTGCCTAATTAACATCAAAAACACTAAATGCATACAGAGGTGACTATAATTACTAGTGTTAACAATGGTTCTGAAATGAAGCCTAGTTGAAGTGGTTTCTAAATCATCTTATTTAAGGAAGACAGTGCTCTATATATGCTTTCTCAGATTCCTCAATAAACTAACAGCAGTGTCCTTTTGCTCCTGAAAAGGATGTACCACCATCTACTCTTACTCAATTTCCTTAGCTGAACGCTAACAAATATTCCCCTTAAACTCTAAGTTCTAACATTGCAAAGCCAATACTCTAATCAATGTAACTCACTTCATTTGGCTACAAAACAGGTTTAAAATATTCCTCTCCAACACAGTAACTTAGTTAGTGACAAAACCCTAGTTTAAAAACATGGGTTTTTGATGGAGCTTAAAGCATTCTTTTCATCTCCAAAAGACTGGGACTTTACTAGAACCAAGCAACCTAACTTTAGAAATTTATTTACAGACAAAAATATTAAAAATAGTCATTTGTTCAATATTCTGCTCAGATATTTCATTTTTGAAATAAAAAGTCAGGATAAGGGGCAGCTACAATTTGATTAGTAATTTCTAGCAACGTGAGTATATGCCTCCCATGCCCTTCAACAGCATCCACCCTTTAACAGTAAATGTAGTATTCACAGACTGTTTCAATTGCTTCACTATTTTTACTAGTGACATGCCACCATATTTGCTTCATCAGATGTTATCAGTTGAGCCTATAATCCTGAAGCTAAATAGGTAAAAGATTAAAGAACACATGTACATGGAACTCAGTTTCTGATGAACTCCAGGACTTTGTACAAGGTGCAGAAAAGAAGCTCCACAGCCCCACCTGATGGCTGATTAGCTCCCTCATGTGCCACTTAGCACTTCTGAAGAGTGTTGAAGTGGAACCAGTTCCATTCTGAAGATAAAATTCCAAGTTCTATTACAAATCTAAACTAGCTGAGAATCAATAGCAGCTTTCACTATCTGAGCACACAGTAACAAGTTTTTAATACACTGCTAGTTTTTTAAGTGATTTATAATCAGAACACCAGTGCACTACATAATCATAGTGACACAAAAGGAGCATGTCTATTCATAGATAAGCAGCTTAGAGTCAAATTGAAGTATTTGAAGTGTTCCATGATTATTAAGCCTAAACCATTAGCTTCTAAATAAATTTTGAGTCATTAGCTTTATTTCCTTGTTTGTTTACTGTGGTTTGTCAGTGACCAATGCTCCCTCTCCCTTGTAGGACTAAGACAGACTGTGAGCGTATGAAATAGATTAAATATGACCTGATTGTGTCAAAAATACAGATCACTGGCATCTGAGTAATTTAAAACAGTATCTAATTATAACATGAATAACCCCTTTGTATGAATGCAGTCCTAGTGAATAATTACAGTAGGAGCAGAACAGGATAGTACTATGAATATGATAACTTCAAGGGCTGTTCTAGTGGGCCTAATCTAAAAATCTTGCTACAGTGAACCTCTTTGTACCACAACAGAAAACAGCCACTGCAGCCCCAAGTTTAAGGTCATTACTCATTGGGTTCCCAGTGCTGGAAGCAGTGGGGGGAAGAGGGTAAAATATGATGGCAGTTAACAAATTTCTCCTGGAAAAGCATTGGTCTGTTTAGACAAATGAAACGTAATCTTGCTCTGATCAGAAAAGCTGTCTGAAAGGAAGGCAACTCAAAACTAACACAACACACAAAAATAGACAGGTATTGTGGAATACAACTTCTTGCCTCCTAAACTATCAGCAGATACCTCCATGGACTGCAAATGAGGAGAAAACTAAGTGTTGATGAAAAGGTGTGCTCTTGCAGGAAGACCATTACCTTGGAGTGAACTGCATCTCTACTAGCATGTGCAAAACAAACAGCACTCAAGGTTACTTTGCCTTTTGAACACTCTATTTTTGCATGTAGCTCACAATCATATTGAGCAATCCATGGGCAGTTTTATTTTCATAGCTCCTCATAGTTTTTTTTCTTAATAAATGCATCTAGCAAGATCTCTGGGGCTCAGCAGCAGAGAATATAAGAGTAAAAAGAGCAACTGCCACTTTTTAGATCATTAATTGAAAAGATTACAACCAAAATGGACAAAATGAGCAAGAGAAGATAGAAACTAAAGAGTCACAACAGGCAAAGGACCATGCTTGTTACAGACATGAGTGCTACAAGAAGGTTCTACTTCTTTTACCTTGTCTTTGACAAACTTAATTTAAATAGACTATGTTGTATGGCTTTATTGTATTAACATGAAAGACAACTATATTCTGAGTCTGTGACCTTGAAGTGGTACTGCAAAGGCTCAAATAGAGCAATGAGAACCAAAATCCTGACTGTCAGACCGGATTGAAGAGTGGACTCTGAATACACACACTTCATTGCCATCAAAGCATACAGGCTTTGCAACTATGTGCTTGTCTCATCTTTTTATTTATTTTTATTTCAGATGGCCTGAGGTAAGAGAAGGCAAAACACCTTTTGCACAATAGTTGTTTAGGCTGTTATACTACACTAATGTTTTCAGAGAGATGGGAGACAAAAGCAATTAATCTAAACCTTCACAGGTCTTCATTGCTCATGCTTGTACTTGTGCTAAACTTTGCCTAAAGCAGTTACCTGATGACATTATTTCTTAGAGCACTAAAGAGTACAGTGGAATAGACACTGCAGCATAGAAAAGGGTAAAACAAAAATGCCTGAAGAGTTGGTCTCAAAAAGAAAGAAATCCAAACAAATAACCAAAACAGTATCTAGACAACTAGCCTGACTTCCTCTTTCCCAGTAAGACAACAAACTTCTAGTAAACAGAACCTTTACATTTACAAGAAAGGGAGCAAGGAGGACCCTGGGAACTACAGGCCGGTGAGTCTCACCTCTGTGCCTGGG